CTGATGTGGCTCATCTTTGACAGCTGGTTCCCTATCCAGCCCACCTTCCTTCTACCCCTCCCAGTCTGGGTATTACAGCTTTGGCTTCTTTTTTTTTTTTACTGTATCCCATATATATATATATATAGTGATATATGTATAACTGCATATATATTCAATATATATATACATATACACATACACACAGTTGTGAGCATGTGAAACAATTTATTCTTGTATTATTATAAATACTTATTATTTTCCATCCGAATAACTGTAAACCTACGCCTGCCCCACCCTGTGTTCAGAATGACTACTGCTACTTGTGCTGCTTTCCTCCCTGGCTTCCCTTATTTCCTGATGGGGAGAAGAGAGGGAAGGAACTTCCCATCTCCCACACCTTTGGCTTTGCTCAAAGTGAACTAATTCTAGCATATCAAACCTAATTTTCAGCTCCCTTTGGCTAGGTGTGTTTGTGCCTGCCTACTCTAAAATGCTTATTTGCAAGCAAAGTTCTTTTTTCCTTTTCTTCTTCCCCAGTTTCTTCTAGTCATAAGCTTTTTCAGTAAGCCACGGAGTTTGAAGAAGATGGCTTCAGAATAATGAAGCTTCTATTCCACTTTAACTTCATCTGCCCCTTCACCTGTGCAGGCCTATGTCTCTTTCCTGAAACTTATCCTCGAAGGACTCTCTCCACAAAAGACAGTCCTAGAAGCTCACTTTTACACAGCAGGTATGCCTGTGAAAACTGAAAAGTGAATCACAATCAGATCACTGTCAGAGAGTAGTAGAATCTGAGAAAGTAGAAGAATGGATGGTGAAGGGTACAAGGAGACTTTGAATACACAAAAAGTTTAAAAAATCTGCAACAAATATGGCGAAGTGTAACATTTGTTTAACAGGAATAGTGGACACATGGAGGCTATGTTACTCTTCCTACTCATAATTAAAAATTCATATTTAAAAGTATAAAAGACCTCAATGAAACAAATGATAAAAATCCTAATGTAAGTATAACTGATACATAAACTGCACATTTTTAAAGTGTACATCTTGATGAACTTTGACAAATATATACAACTCCAATGAAACCATTACTACCAAGATTTACCCTCTGTAAGCCATCCTCTGTACCCTACCCAGACAACCACTAATTTATGTCACTAGACATTCTGCAGTTTGTAGAATTTCACAGAGATAGAATCATAGTTTCTGGCCTGGCTTCTTCCCCTCAGCACACTTGAGATCCATCATGCTGTGTGTATCGGTAATTCATTTCTTTCTATGGCTGAGTAACAGGCTGTTGTGGACACACTAATTTATTTACTCATTTAACTGTTACTGGCCTTTTGTTTGCAGTTTTAGTTATTACAGAGAAAGCTGCTACATATTTGTGTACCAGTCTTTCAGGGACATATGCTCTCATTGCTCTTAGTTAAATACTAGGAGAGGACTGGCTAGATTACATGGCAGGTATACGTTTAGCATTTAAGAATCTTTTCAGTGGTTTTCCAAAGTGATTATACTTTAAATCTCTACCAGAAACATAGGGGTGAGTTCCAGCTGCTCTACATTCTCACCAGCACTTTGGTATGCTCAGTGTGAAAACCTTAGTCATTCTAGTGGGTCTGTGTTAGTACCTCATTATTATGGCTTTAATTCACACTTCCCACTGACTAATAAGATTGGCAATCTTTTCATGTGCTTATCTGTTATCTGTATACACTTCCTTTAGTGAAGAATACGTTTACATCTTTTGCCCATTTTTTGGATTGGGCTATTTGTCTTCTTTGTATTGTTAATTGTAAGAGTTCTTTTTATTGCATCCATCACAGGTTGCAAACTTTTTCTAAACAGAGCAAGAAGGTAAATATTTTAGGTTTTGAGGTCCACTTACAGTCCATTATATATTCTTTTGTTTTAGTGCTTTAAAAAAATGCCAAAACTCTTTCTTAGCTTGCAGGAACTTTATATAAACAGACCTATGGTTAGGTTTAATCCACAGTAACAGCTCTTTGTCTAGATACAAGTCCTTTGTCCAGTATATGTTTTACAGTAGTCGGCCTTTTCTTAACAGTATCTATTGAGCAAGTTTTAAATTTTGATAAGGTACAATCTTTCATTCCTTCTGTGTTTTATATTGCCAATTCTAAGGTCACTAAGATTTTCTCTTATGTTTTCTTAAGTTTTATAGATTTAGTTATTATATTTAAGTGCAGGATCCATTTGTATATAGGTGGTATGAGTTAAGGGTTATGGACCATTTTTGGCATGACTATTCAATTGTTCCAATACTATTTATCAGGTTTTTCTTCCTCCAGTGAGTTGCCCTGGTAGGTCTGCAAAACAACAACTGACAGTATGTATGTGAATCTATTTCTGGATTCTCTAATGTGTTCCACTGATCCATGTCTATTTTTACAGCAATACAATAATTGTCTTCATTATTGTAGCTTTATTAGTCTTATATTGCTATTCAAATTGCTGCTTCAGTTTTTCTAAGTTTATTTTATTTTAGAATGAGTTTGCCATTTTCTAAAAACTAAAAGCCCTGCTGGGAATTTTAATGAATTTCTAGATTCAGGGGAGAACTGACATTTAAACAAATCCTGAATCTTTGTTCCCTGATCACAATCAACCTCTCCATTTACTTTGTCCTATTTTAACTTGTGTCAGCCACATTTTATAATTTTCAGTGAACAGGCCTTGTAAATATATTTCTAAGTATTCCATATTTTTGATGCAATGATATACACCACTGTTTTATAAATTTCAATTTCCTATTATCCGTTGCTAATATATGGAGCCACAATGATTCCTGTATATTGAACTTGTATCCTGTAACCTTGCTGAATTCACTGTATTTCCCGGAAACCGGTAAGTTTTATAGCCGTGGTTCTGAAATGTGAGCATTCTTGCTCCCCAGGCCACATCTAGTATTGTCTGGAGACATTTTCAGATGTCAGAACTGGGGTTCAAGGAGGGTGTAGTACTGGCACCTAGCAAGTACAGACCAGGGATGCTGCTGACTTCCTACAACATAAAAAAAACAGATCCCCACACAAAAAATTACCCAGTCCAAAATGTTGATAGTATTCAGGCTGAGAAACCCCATTTTACAGGCTTAGTCAAACTGAAGTTTAATTGTTCACATTATTTCATAGGTGGTTGTGTGTCCTCAGGATACCCATAAATATATCTTTTTTGTGATGTTAGCAGCTAATGTGATCCACTGATTCATCAGCAGCTGCAAAGTGTTAATATTCTAATATTCCTTCTGCATTTATGATCTGAATTACTTCTATAAAGAGAAGTTTCCTTTCACAACCGACTTCTAGTGAAGAGAAATTCCCCTCACCATTTTTTGTTTAACCCAAGTAACAGTTCACACAGGAAAGGAAGAATAAATGTAAGATTCTTTCTTTGCCATTTTTCAAAATGAGCTGGCTCCCTAATATCCTCCAAAGGTGGCCAATATTTTTTAAAGTATCATTATGAATCCATACATTAAAATACTGTGATGTGTTTCAATTATCACTTCGTCTACAGTCAATGGGAGCTTCTCCATGTTAGCTCCTGAGTCAAGTTGTCCGTAACAACTTATTCGCTTTCCGGTGCAACAATACAACTGAGGTTAATCTCACACACGTCTTTGTGGGAGTCAGCCATTTCTCCAATGGTTAATTTTAGTGTCGAATAGTATTTAGAGGACAAAATCTGGGTCTTTTCAATAGACAAATCTAGTATTCTTGTTTCTTTTGGAGAGAATACATTGAATTCATTAACTCAAGTATTTCAAGGTTTTTAGTACTCATTTGTTTTATATCTGAGTCTCTATTCTCTTATGCTGGAAATCCTAATGACATTTCACATAATCCCTTATTTGCTTTGTCATATAATGTTATATTTTCAGAATAACATTAGAAGTATGATTAACAATGTAACTGAAAATAGTACAAATTTTTTGCAGTTCTTTTTGTCTTTAATACCAAATGTCTATGTTTGAAAGTCAATTGGGATACTTTTTCTCTGTGAGGTTATATTGCTGAAGTCAAAATAAAGTGAGATTCATTAGTTTCACTTGGCTTTTGCTGTTTGTCTTACCCTCTATGTCTCTTCATTTGAGTAGTAGTGGTTGGTAGCCTTCATAATAAAATTGTAATCTTAAGTGTGGGATTTTCTTGAATTCTGTGAGTCATTCTAGTGAACTATTGAACCTGAGGTCATGGGAAAGCTCCAACTGGTAGCTAATTGGTAAGGTGTGCAAGTGGCCTAAGAACCCCTGAAGTTGCAGCTGGTGTCTAAAATAGGGGCAGACTTGTTGGGGACTGTGACTTTAACTTATCAGTCTGATGCCAACTTTGGGTGGTTAGTGTGAGAATATACTGTAGTACATCAATAGGGGTACCTTGAGTTAGCTTTGTTGTGTATACCGTCCATGGGTTTGTTGTTGCTCTGTTGTACTAGTTACTCTTCTATTTTGGGAAAAGGATCTGAGACTCAAAAACTGCCAGGTCACTACCATTTTGTCACCAGCCTTTCTTTGTGCTTAAAGTTAACTTGGTATATCACATTTCCTGCCCTGCATACTATTTCAATATTTATCAGCATTTCATGGATAGTTATAGAAGATTAAATTGCCAAGATTACCAGTGTACACCAACACTCTTAGTGTTGATCAGCACTCATCTGCAGTGTACCCTATGAAATGCACAAACTGCATTAAAGCTGCTTGATAATAGTAATGACTATAATTTGAGTTAATAAGAAAGCAGACAGGAAGCTTTAGTTTTTAAGTGACTAAATCAGATATTCTGACTTCTCTTTTTAGATTACCACCCCATCCCCCAATCAAATAACAAAATGTACAGTATAAAATATTTGCTTTCTTATCCAGCAGAATACATTAAATTTATATATTAAACAGCACAAAAACTGCATACTGCAAATAATAATATATATTATTTTCAAACAGGTCGGAGACTAGAATCCCAAAATAAAAAAACAAGCAAAAATTTTACCTCTTTGAGACGTAGTTGTGATGACGCAGCCATATAATCTGATTCTAATTTGTTCTTCTCAGAGATCACTGTAGTATTTTGAAGAATTAAATCTACTTTTTGTATATGCAAAGAAGTACAAATCTAGGAACAAAAACCCGTAAGAGTTTAATTTATTTTACATTTAAGAAAAATAATATATTAAAAAATTATAAACCATAAAAATATTTTCCTCCTAATATGACTGGATAACTTTGTCATTATTTTTATAACTATTTCTTACTAGAGAACTTTTATAAAGTCTTCCTGTGAATTTGAGTCATCTGGAATAAAATAATTTAGCCTAACGACTACTTTTAATCAATTTGACCTGTAACAAAAAAATGTCTAACAACAGTGCAAGTTAAAATTATTGATAAAACTCTTAAGATTCTACTACCTTGTCTCAGCTACCTGTATGACTAAAATTAAAAAAATGCCTTACCTTTATTAGGTTTGTTAATTCGGTAACAAGCTTTGCTTTTTGAATATTTATTTCTTTAATTTTGGTACTTGCTTTTCGCTCTTCCTCTTCAAGGTTGCAAGTATCCTGTTCCATCAGCTTTAAACTGTATGAAATGTATAATGATGTAGAAATCAAAGTTATACATAATGATTGAGCCCAAATCCTAGGTCCTTCACTGTTTTATGGGATACTGAAGATGTATAAACAGTTATCTTCTAGATTAAATAATCATCTTATACAACTATTCAGGATCAAAAAGTATTTGTTGAGATATATTATGTGCCCAGTATAATCTAGGTAATGATAGTGCTAATGGTATCTGAAATCATAAAGATGGATCTGAATTTGTTCCTCGACACTGGTGAACAGCATGACTGAATGTTACTCATCTGGCTTTAATTTCCCATAGAGTTGTGGTGAAGACGTAAACTCCATAACATACTTAGTCAAGTGCCTGGCCTGTAACTGACTGATACCTGTAAGTTGTTACTCTTGTTATTAATATTGTTTATAAACACAGTCTCTTCCCTTAAGAAGCTTAATTAGGGGGGGGATTTAATTAACAAGCTAAAATCAAACATAATGAAGATATAATACAACAATCCTAAAGGTTAATAGTTTGCTCTTTAAGATGAAGAAACTAAGGCTCCAAAGTTAAACAGGTTACCAAAAATCACAGATACTAAATAGTATGCTGTATCTGGCACCAAAGTTCTTTCCACTATACTATACTGCCATCAGGGAATAAAGCAAGAAGGATGGAAGCAATAATCAACAAAAATGAACTAGTTCAATGGATTTATAGAGCAGACTGAATAATACATGGAAGACAGTGTTGGGACAGGCAGGGAGATGTGCTGGAATGGGCTGAGTGAAACAAGATTTTGAAAAACTTGAAAGACAGTCTAAGGGAAAGTAGTATTTAAGTCAATTTTATGTAGTAATGGCAGGAAACCACAACAGATCACCTTGAATGGGGGTAGAAAAATGAAAAGAGGATAAATTTAACAACAATAATCTGGAGGCACTGAGGAGAGAGGGGACAAGTCAGGGAGACCACTATGCAGGCCACCACTGTAGTATTCCTAAGTGCATAAATGTACATATGAGACAGAGAGCTGGTAATGGGTATGAAAGCTCATTTCACTACAAAAATAAATATTACTTAAGGAAGAGAAAGTTCATTTTATTTTTAATTAATTTATTTATTTTTAGAGAAAGGGGGAGGGGGAAAGAAAGGGAAAGAAACATTGATATGCAAAAGATTTTATTAATCAGTTGGTTGCCTCCCGCATGCCCCTAGCTGGAGACCTGGCCCACAACCCAGGCATGTGCCATGACTGGGAATTGAAAAGGCAACCTTTTAGTTCGTAGGCTGGCACTCAATCCACTGAGCCAGAGAAGCCCAGGCGACGAGAGAGTGTAGTGTTAGACGACACAACAGTCCAATATGGCAGCCTCGGAGTAGAGGTTAAGTGTTTGCAGATGATTAAAGACAGGAATGAAGCGAGGGGTGAAAGCTGTGAAAGGCTCAAAGTAAAAAAATTCTAGGCAGTTAGACTTACAGAGACACCTTGCCTTAAGCAACCATGGTACATTATTAACTTTTAAAATGAAAGTGAATGACAATTTATTTGCTTAAAAAATGAACAAATTTCCTTAATACATCTCAAATATTACTCAATATATGATTGTGTTTAGAAACACAAACTATATTAGGTATGGTAAACTTATACCTTACTCAAGGCAATGAGCGCTCACTGATTATTAGAAGCTGACCATGTCATTAAAATCTACATCTTTATTCTACTGGCAAGAAGCATAAAAGAAAAGAAGAGCTGAGCTATGACATGGCAGGATATGGGAAAAACCTTGAAACTAGAAGCCATTCCCCTTGGGAGTAAAATTAAAGTATGAGAGAGAAATGATAAAATGTGCTTTTGGGATTATGATATCACTTCAGGGTAAACTAGTAATATCCCCATACTGCTTTGTGTCCCCAACCCACACCCCACAGAAGTGGATGCAACATACCTTCCTAGTTTGGAACTAATTTTTTGTTCCAATTGTCTTTTCTTGGTTTTTCTTTCAAGAAGCTCCTTCTTCTTTTGTCTAAGTTCATTATCTCTGTGTTCTAGATGTTTGTTTGTTTCACGCAAGGCAATCAATGCTGATTCCACTGCTTGCAATTTTCTATGAATTTCCTATAGGATATTCAAAATTGTTAATGTATTTTAAAGATTTCTAGTTAGACTATTATAAATCCAGTTAATATTTTTTCTAATATTAAATTAAAAAAAAAAAACCCAACCTTTAGATGTTCTTCTAGGAGTCTTCTTTGCTCTAGATCCACAGTGACTGTGAGAAACTGGGCTCCTTTTAGGGATGTGTTACTAGAAATAACTTTATTTGAATAAAAGGAAGTTTTCACCACATACTTTTCTTCTGCTGTGTACATTTGTCTCAGTCGGGTTTCTTGTATTACCTATAGCGTAAAATAAGTATCAGAGCACATCTAATAATTATGATATATTTGAAAGAACTAAAGAATTAAAAATACAGATCAAATGAATTTTAGAAGATCAAAAAATAGTAGATATACATTCATTACCCAACAACATCACTGATACATTTCAGGTTATTATTTTAGATAACAACTAAGGAAATTAGGAGAAAACCAAAACCATTAGCAAAGTTAGCTATATTATGCTTTGCTATACAATCTCTCCCAACTCAGTGTACTTATGAAGCTTTGTTTTATCTACAGAAAAAAATACCAGGACCGAGGTATCCTTACATTGAACTGTGTTATGTCAGGTAAGTCATTTACTCTGCCTTCCCCTCAATTACAACGTTGACAGACAGACAGTTTTATATTCAATTCCTGTATATATTTGAGAGAATACTTAGTGGAAACACCTTTCAAGGAGTTCAGAGACTTTTTTGCATTTTAGAGGGAGCTTTTCTCTCAAGAACTGATACAAGGAGGATCATAAAGTACATTCCAAATGCTGAAACATTATAAATATACAGACATAGAACTAATAAAGAATAAGCTGCTGTAATGCAGTTTTTCCTAATCTCTATAAAGGTTTATTACCAATACTCTCATGGTTTGTTTCTCTCCAGAACTTTATAGTCTAAGTGAAGAGAGAAGACACAGGTTTTATAAACTGGCATCACTAATTGAACCAGTTGGAATGAAGGAAAAGCCTAGAAGAGGTTATGTTTCATGAAAGTAAAATTCAAATGGGATCTGAACTGACAGAGATGGTGAGGGAAGAGCACGCCCACCAAAATGGACATCGAGAGTGTCCGCAGATAATTTAACCAAGAGGGAGCCTTAGAAATTAGTGAGAGAACAATTTCATAAATAAGTTATAATCATTGTTAAAGAACCTAAAATGTTAGTATTCAATAATAAAGCAAAACTTACACTAAAAAATGTATCTTTAGTCTAATGAAGAAATGTAGCTGTTATTGTCATTATCTAGACATGAAACAGAACTGCAGATACAAAGACAGAAAGGTTCCTCAACAAAGGTTTGTATCTTCTGAAAGATAGCCAAGACAATGTCAGGGGCTTTGCCAAGTGTTTGAAATATAGGAAAAATCAATGTGTTCAAGGATTTTAAAAATATCATCACCTATACAGAACCAGAGATTAAGGCTAATGAAAAATATTTGAAAAGAGATGAAGTGGAACATGAAAATTAATTTTACTTTTAATGTAAATTATTTGAATTCCAATGCTTTCTCTCTACTATAAACTGTACAGTTAAAGCTCTAAATGACTTAAAACAAAATGTTAAAAAATAAAAGTACATAAAACTACTTCAACTTGAAGCACTCTTCAAAAAATAAAAGAATTTCCCAACTGCAATAATTGTTCTTTTCTGCTCCAAAGTAAAATTATAAAAGCCCTTACCAAATTTTCCATAGTCTTTTTGTAATAGTAGAGAAATCTTGCTACCCTTACCTTCAGATAGCCCTACCTATCCCTAGAGTTCTGACAAAAATGGTTGGTCTATGCAGATGGTTTTGTCCTTTTTTCTAAACACCATGGAATTAAGACCAAAGAGGTACAATGAGATAACTATAAATTCGTTGTTAAAACATTTGAACACGTATTCTAACAAATTCGATATTATAAACAGCAGTTAGGTCTGTAACTGGGTCCTACATGCTAAGAAGCAGTATAACAGGGTAACTTGGTATTATAAAAAAACCTGTTTTAGAAGGGATTTCTTCCCTGTTTCTGCCTGTGATAATAAAAAAAATGTGGTTTATAGTCCTGGAGAGTACTTCTAAGAAAACAATCCTAAGGCATACTCACAGAATATATGAACTAAGAGTTCCTTAAAACCTATATGATCTTAGTAGCCAATGTCACCCCAATAAATTTAATAAATAAGTAAATATATAAATTACAATTAGTTAAAAAAATTTTAGCTATACTAAGCAAGGCAAGGGTGGTCATTCATATATGAGGTAATCTTAGGTGGAAGGTTTAAGAAGGGGAGGTTGTACTAAAACATTTCTGTATCACAGCCTATCATCCTGAAGGATAATTTGTCTGAAACATAATCTAGAATACAAACATTTAAATGGTTAAACCATTAATATAAAGTTTAAACACAGGTTTATCAAGCAAGCCAGAATCAGGTCAGAGTGCCAGGTATTTCTTTTCTCAGGTTTTAATTTATTAAATTACCCTATAAGTATTAAGTATTTATTTACTCTAGGTAACTCCCCATCACTCCTGTCACATAGAATTAGTCAATAGTTATTGTTTTATGTTATCTTAAAAATATAAAATACAAAGATGCTTTCTGTAAGGTTCAAAACAACAGAATGATACACTTCTTTAAATTTCTTATAATCTTTCCCTGACTTTAAGCTAAGAAATGTTAACAAAACTACCAGTTAAACACTCCCTTACCCGTTCAATTCTTTCTCTGGTCCTTTCGGTTCCTACGGGAACTTCATGAATATGATACTGGCTGCACAGGTAGCTCATGACAGGAGCAGGCGCATCAAACAGCTCCCGCAGGTAAGAGAAGAACCCGTACTGTCTAAAAGGAGTAGTGGCTATTAGGTTTTTCTTCTTAAAATACCATTTAAAACTCTGATAGTTAGCTGACAAGTAGCCAATAAACAACAAATAAAATAAGAGTCATTTTGCTTTGTATATTTTAAAATTACTTAAGTGATTAATACTGAGATTAATTTATTTCCTTGTCAAGGCTTAATCATTATATATTTACAACCACAAACTGTTAATCTGTTCTTTTGTAGTTTCTTCCATTTCTCTCATATTTAAAATGTCTACTTACATCCAGAGTGAAAATATTTATTTATAGCTATTTTATAATTGCAATTTTTCCATTTAGTCCTTCTGGAAATTATTTTTGCATTATTAAGTGATAAATTATCACTTTATTTTCTCAATAACCAACTATTTTGGTATTTTTTTTTTATTAAATAGTCCAATACTGGTTTGATGATTTAAAACATCACCATCATGTACTAGCTATACCATGATCTGTTCCTGGGCCTCAATTTCCCTTATTTTAGACTTACGTAGAGATCCTAAAAATAAATAATATAGCCTATAACAAACTATTCATGTGACAAAAAGTAATTAGAATATAGTTGAGTGATAAAAGTTACCCAATATGTGAAAGGTAGTTAGCTCTAACAATCTTTTCAAGACTTACTTGAGTTCACTTAAAGGCCTTGAAGGTGCTCTGTCTGCATATGAACTCCTAGGAGCAATAACAGCATTTACTCTTAATTTTTTATTATCACGAACCTGAATATAAGGAAAAAAATATTACTTTAATCACCATCCACTCTCATTCAAAATGATTCTTAAAGCTACCATATTGCTACTGGCATTCAAGGGATGATCAGAAATTCAAACACTGAGAGGATATTTAATGATTCCTATAAGGAAAATTATTTACTGTGATACTGATATTATAACTGTGTTTTTATATTGTAGTTATTATGTGTTTTTACAAAAAGAGTCAATTTCTTTGATCATTTTCCCTGATAAATTCTATGAAACAGTTAAGGAAGCAATACCAGAACTCTTCCAGGAAACAGAAGGGACATTTTCCAAGTCATTTTATGTTATCAGCATAATCTTGATAAAAACTTAAAATATCCCTCTCATGAACATACGTGCAAAAATCCTTAACGAAATATTAGTAAACAGAATCCAGCAGTACATGAACAGCATACATGACCAAGTAGTTTATGCCAAGAACATGAGGTTGATGTAGCATTCAAAAAGTCAACCACTCTGACTTATTGTATTAACAGAATAAAGTACAAAAAGCCGGGACTTCCAGCCAAGATGGAGGCGTAGGTGGAAACACTGTACCTCCTCACACAACCAAGTTTATGAACAACAAATATTTAAAAACCAGAACGCAACCAAAACAGAGAGAAAAATTAAACTGTGCGGAAGTCCTACAACAACAAACCATTCATCCAGACCAGTAAAGAGGGGCAGAGACAGCTGCTGGCAGAAAGGGGTCAAGCAGAAAAAAGTGGCCAGATTGACCCAGGCACGCAGGCGATGGTTGGCAGATCCCAGGTGTGGGGTGGCAACGGGGGAACCCAGTGAGGGCACAAGGTGGCTGGCTGACTGCAGCCATGCATTTGTGCGCAGATAAACCAGGCAAAGGAGTGAGCACTGAGACAGACTGTGCAAATGCAGGGCCCCAGTGCCAGGAAATAAAGCCTAAAAGCACCAATTGGAAAAACTTTCGGGGGTCGAGGTGCCCAGAGAGGCTCCCAGAGAGTTCGTTGGAGAGACCCACAGGGTCCTGGAGGGTGCACAGGCCCACACACCCAGGAGCCGGCACCAGGGAGGCCCGGTTTGCTTTCAGGAAGCAGCAGAGGGGACCAAAATCCGAGAGAGAGGATGGAACAAGCACCATTGCCTCTCTCTGACCCCGTTCCCACATACAGTATCACAACCCAGCAACCTGGGTTGCCCCACCCTGGTGAACACTTAAGGCTCTGCCCCTCATAACAAGGGCAAACAGACCAAAACATTATGGCTCAAGAAGAAGAACAGCTCAAAGCCCCAGAGCCAATACTTCTAAGTGACCAAGAGATAGCCAACCTATAGGATGCACAGTTCAAAACACTGGTGATCAGGATGCTCACAGAACTGGTTGTTTTTAGTCACAAATTAGATGAAAAAATGAAGGCTTCACTAAGTGAAATGAAGCAAAACGCACAGGGAAACAGTAGTGATGGGAAAGAAACTGGGACTAAAATCAATAGATTGGACCAGAAGGAAGAAAAAAATGACCAAACAGAAAAGAATGAAGAAACAAGAATTCAAAAAAATGAGGAGAGGCTTAGGAACCTCCAGGACATCTTTAAATGTTCCAACATCCGAATTATAGGGGTACCAAAAGGGGAAGAGGAACAGCCACAAATGGAAAACTTATTTGAACAAATAAGAAAGGAGAACTTCCCCAATCTGGAAAAGGAAATAGACTTCCAGGAAGTCCAGGAAGCTCAGAGAGTCCCAAAGAAGTTGGACCCAAGGAGGAACACACCAAGGCACATCATAATTACATTAGCCAAGATTAAAATGAAAAGAGAGAATCCTAGAAGCAGCAAGAGATAAAGGGACAGTCACCTACAAAGGAGTTCCCATCAGACTGTCAGCTGATTTCTCAAAAGAGACCTTACAGGCAAGAAGGGGTTGGAAAGAAGTATTCCAAGTCATGAAATCCAAAGACCTACATCCAAGATTGATCTATCCAGCAAAGCTTTCATTTAGAATGGAAGGGCAGATAAAGTGCTTCTCAGATAAGGTCAAGTTCAAGGAGTTCATCACTACCAAGCTCTTATTATATAAAATGTTAAAGGGACTTATCTAAGAAAAAGAAGATAAAAAAGATGAACAGTGAAAGGACAGCAAGCCCACAGTTTCTAACAACTACACCTAAAACAAAATCAAACTAAGAAGACAGCTAGATCAGGAGCAGAACCACAGAAATGGAGATCACATGGAGGGTTAGCAACGGGGTGGGGGAGAGAAGGTACAGAGACTAAGTAGCAGAAAATAGGTAGGTAGAAAATAGGGGGAAGACAAGAATAGGAAGGGAAATATAGAATCTAAAGAACTTGAGACACGTGGTCATAAACTAAAGGGGGGGAACGGTGGGTGGGAGGGGGTGTGCAGGGTAGAGGGGAAATAGGACAACTATAATGGCATAATCAATAAAACATTTTTAAAAAGTACAAAAGCCATATGATCATCTCAATAGATGCAGAACACTTGACAAAATTTAACAAAAATAGACATAAAAAGAAACTTCTTTACTTGATAAAGGGCATGTATGATAAATGTTCAGCAGACACAGTACTTAACAGAAATACTGAGTGTTTTCCATCTAAGTCTGGGAACAAGCAAGGATGTCTAATCTTACCTCAGGACAATTTGAAGAAAAACGGTACTAGAAAATGTAGTGAAGCACAATAAAGAAGTAAAAGAATTCCAGGACTGGGTGGCTTCACTGGTGAATTCTACCAAACATTTGAAGAAGAGGGAATACATACATCATAACTCATTTTATGAGATCGACATTACCCTGATAGCCAAACCAGGCAAAAAAAAAAAATAAAGGAAAATTACAGGCTAATATCTTTGATGAACATAAAAGCAGAAAGTGTCAAGAGAATACTAGCAAATCGAATATAAGAATACATTAAAAAGAAAACACATCATAACCAAGTGGGGTTCATTTCAGAAATTAAAGGATGGTTCAAGATACCCACATCAATGACACAACCTCATTAACAAAATAAATGATAAAAATCATATGATCTTATCAATAGATGCAGAAAAAGCTTCCGACAAGATACGACATCCATTTATTATGAAAGTACGCAATAAAATGCATATATAAGGAAAGTACCTCAACATAATAAAGGCCATATGTGACAAAATCTCAGCTAATATCATTTCCAAGGTGAAATACTGAAAGCTTTTCCTTTAAGATCAGGAACAAAGACAAGGGTGCTCACTCTCACCACAGATACTCAACGCAGTACTAAAAGTTCTAGCCAAAGAAAGCAATGAGATAAAAGGAATCCAAATTGGTAATGAAGAACACTGTCACTATTTGAAGATGACATGATTCTACACATAGAAAACTCTAAAGAGTCCACCAAGAGACTAACAGAAACAATGAACAAACATACCAAAGTTGCAGAATAGGAAAATCAGTGTACAAAAATCTGTTCAGTTCTTATCTACTAACAACGAAGTATCAAGGAGAACTGAAGAAAACAATCCCATTTGCAACTGCAACAAAAAGGATAAAAGAACCTATACACAGAAAACTATAAGACACCATTGACATAAATTAAAGAGGACACAAAGAAATGGAAATATATTCTGTGTTCATGGATTAGAAGAATATAGCTGAATGGCCATATTACCTAAAGGAATAAACAAATTTAATGCAAGCTCCATAAAATCTCAATGGCATTTTTCAAAGAAATAAAACGAAAAATCCTCAAAGTTGGAACCATAAAAGGTCCCAAACAGCCAAAGCAATCCAGAAAAAAAAAGAACACAGCCAGAGGTATCACACGCCCTCACTTCAAATGCATACAACAATCAAAACAGGATGGTATTGGCAGGAAAACAGACACAGGCCAACAGAAGAGAACTTAGAACCAGAAATAAGCCCACACATACATGGGTAAATAATTTTGACAAATGAGCTGAAAACATAAAATGGAGAAAGTACAGCCTTCAATAAATGGTGTTGGGAAAAAGGGAATGGTGCATTCAAAAGAGGGAAATGAGACTTCTTACCATACACAAAAATTAACTCAAAATGCACTAGAGACTTGAACATAAAACCTAAAATAAATAAATAAATGAATGAATGAATGAAAACATGGGTACTAAACTTAAGAACTTTGGTCTCAGAGGGGTTTTTGTGAACTTAATCCCAAAGGCAAGGCAAGGAAAGCCAAAATAAATAAATGGGACACAGCAAAAGAAGTCACCGACAAAACAAAAAGGCAGTTAACCAACTGAATGAGAAATTATTTTCAAACAATACCTCTGATAAGAGGCTAATATCTGAAGTATATAAAGAACTCATACAACTCAACAAAAGACCCAAACAATCTAATTAAAAAATGGGCAGAGGACTTGAACAGACACTTTTCCCAAGAATACACTCAAATGGCCATCACAGGCATGAAAAGATGTTCAACCTTACTAGCTGTAAGGAGCAGCTGCTGGAAGGACTACTTATCAGTATGATAAAAAATAAAAGTTTTGGAGAAGATGTGGAGAAAAAAAGAACTACACTGCTGGTGGAAACGTGAACTGCTGCAGCCTCTCTGGAAAACAGTATGGAGATTCCACAAAAAATTAAGAATAGAGCTACCATATCACCCAGCAATCCTCTTCAGGGTACCTAATTTGAATACACTTATTTGTAAAGATATATGTATCCAATATTCACTGCAGCATTATTCACAATAGCAAATGATTTTACAAAGCAGAGTGACTCTTAGGAATGTATATGCTGGGTCATAGCAAAACTGACTGTAATTTGCAATGGACGAGTAATAAAGCAAATAGAGCAAAATGTAAATAGTTACTGAATCTGGGTAAAAAGTATACAGAATTTCCATGTATACTCTTGCAACTTTTAAGTTTAAAGTTACATCAAGATAAAAAGTTATTAAAAAGACAGTGAAGGTATAGATTGAACAATACTGATAAAAAATACTGTCCATCAATCAATCAATGACACTACATTATAGGTCTCATTTCAGTTGATAGAATGTATTGTTTTAGTGGGTACCCTAAATAAAACTGAATTACACAATAAAAAAATAACTGCCTTTCAATTCCCTTTCAGTATTCCCAATCACAAGGACAAAGTTGTTGTATGTTGTCAGCATGTCCTTAACTCTTTATTATCTCCTTAAAAAAATCACGTTCTCTGCTTTCAGTAAGCAGTAGTACAGATGTAGAACTTACTGACATTGTTTTTACCATCTTTATTGCTATGCAAATTATCTGTTTTCTAATTTTGTGGTGATATTTTACTTCCTTTCAGAATATTTTAAGTAGTAAAAAGTGAAGTGATTTAAAGAAAAATGTTAAATAGTACAGTTAGTACTAGTACTATATAAATTGTGATGACAGAGCACAGCAGTATAGGAAATGGGAAAAAACTGTGAAGTGGTTTGTAAGTTACTAAGAGGAGAGATGTATTCGAGTACATATAGCTACAGAAGGTTACATACAATACATTTCACAACTCAAAATACATAAAAAATCATACATGTAAAAGCAAGTTCTGGTCCTACTGATGAGACTCTTTGGAAAGTTCATTGTCATAGCACAGGGGAAAAAGTCAAATTTTCAGAAACTTATGTCATATTATCAGTATATGGTTCAAATCCTCAGCACAGAGGAAGGATGATACTCTAGGGCAAGGCAAGGTACTCAGTGTAGGCTAATTTGGGGATCTGCAAAATAGGTATCATCTAGTAACACCCGACTAAACACCCTTCATAATGTGCCACATCTCACAAACTTGTAACCAAGCTACCAACTTCTTCAATGAGCTCTGATAACAGATCACTAACTCACTGATTAAACTTAGACAATCCTAAAATACACAAATTATAAAATGTCCATTTTATAATTTTACACATTCAACCTTTCTATAAAGTCTGTATTCACATTACCTGCCAATTTGTAAACCAGGAGGACAATATGGTAAAAGCCAAAAAAAAAAAAAAAAAGAAAGGATTCTTCCCAGTCACTTGCGTACCAGAGAAACTGAGGTCCACTTGAGCCGATTCTGGGTCCTATCCTCACCCAGACACACTAACAAAGGTTTAAACAAAACAAAGTCTAAGCCTAATCTCTCTGGAGCTTTTAAAGAAGTAGAAGGCATATGCAAAAGGAAAAAGAAATATTACTGACAATATATACTAGCATATATAGCTAACAACATATACTATATACTATTGGGTTGGCCAAAATGTCCATTTAGTTTAGTCTGTTACTGTCAAGTGAGAGACACATTTCTCATTTTCACCAATAACTTTATTGATTTGGGTATTTTGAGTATGTTGGCCATCTCCCGCCTGGTATAACGTTGATTGTTCTCAATGTCTCAATTTGATCACTATCAACTTCAGCTGGTCTACCCAGCTGTTGCGCATCGTCCAATGAGAAATCTCCAGCATGAAACTCCGCAAACCATTCTTGACACATTCGATCAGTCACAACACCTTCTCCATACACTGCACAAATCTTTTGTGTTTCAGTTGCACTTTTACCTTTCTTGAAATAATAAAGTATAATATACTGAAAATGTGTATTTTCTTCTATCTTCCATATTAAAATAGCTACACAAAAATTAATTTTGGTAAGTTTTTTTAATGCCTGCTGATAGGACAGCTGTTACAATACAATCTAACAAAATTCTTTCCAATGAAGTTAAAGACAAATAAGCACTTAGAGCCATCTTATGGAAAAAAACACATGAAATTTCTGTCCAACCCAATAGATATATGTAACAATATACACATAATACATGAAATAGCTAACAAGCACTATCTAAATACTTTTTCATTTATTAACTGATTTAATGCTCTCCAAAATCATTTGAAGTAGGCAGTATTACCTCCATTTTAACGATAAGGAAACTGAGGCACAAAACATTTAGGCAACTTGCCCAAGTTAGTGGCAAAGCCAGAATTCAAATCCTGGCAGTCTAATTTAGAGCCTATACTCTTAACTCCTAAGCCATGATCCTTTTCATTGGCTTAGATTCTTGGTCAGTGGTGTTTTCTAGCTAAATACAGTATCATAATTTTTAAAAAAATATTTTATTTTTTTAAAGTGAGGGGAAGGGAGGGAGAAGGAGAGGAAAAGCAACATCATTGTGAGAAAGAAACATCAATTGGTTGCTTCTTGTATGCCTCCACCTGGGGACCAAATCTACAACCTAAGCATGTACCCTGACTGGAAATCGAACTGGTGACCTTTCCATTCGCAGACTGATGCCCAACCAAGCCACATGGGTCAGGGCTCAATTTTTTTAAAGTGATTTTATTTACATCATAAACAACATTACATTTATTTCCCATCAAAAGAAAAACAGTTCATCCCAAAATAGTTCCCAAAAGGATGTTCGAAACTGAAGACCCATCATTCTGATGTTTCTCTTTAAACAATGTCACAGAAATGTCATAAAGGGAATTAGGCTATTTTTCCTCTTATAAAATAAATTCATTCCCCATAATAATACAGATAGTACAGAAATTAGCAAAACTGAGTGCCTTACATAAGATTTACTGCTGGTAAAATTAGACCTTATCACTTTTAACTCTAGTTTGAATTTTAAACTTAACCAGAAGTGCCAAGTGAGTCGAAATATTGTTAGTTTATACTTGCCTCTTTGAGGAAAACCTCCATATCTTCTTGACTCTCAAACACAAAGGCTCTCAAGTCATTTGGTGGAATATGATTTTCGATATATTTGGCATTTTTATGATCTTTCATATTGATCTAAGCAAAACAAAAAAAGTGGATTTTAATGAAACCCAAACTGATTACTAGAAAATAATTATATCTAACTTAGATTTATTGAATTAGATTAAATTTCATGATTGAGAAAAAAGGAAGACAAAAAAAGAGAACTTGGTATTGAAGGGTCAATACTGTAAAACATCTAATTTAATTTATCATCCAGAAACATCCAAATAATAAAATGAAAGTGGAGACTTGAATACTACCTGATGCATAGTGGTCCTGATATTATCTAATAAAGTTCTTTTCTGGTCACTTACTGAAAACACTGAAATAGTCTTAGACTGTGATCTAAAAGTATAAACATTTCTCATCTATCTCCAAACTTGTAATATGTTTCTTAATCTTTCAAGAGGAATTCATATTGTACATGGCAAGAACTGACTGGTACAAAACTTTATGAAATGAATAGAAAAAACTAGCTATGGATTAACTGTAACTATTAGTGCCTTCAGGAGAAACCCAAGGTTTGTACCACTAGAACATAAAAACATAATGATTTATTTTAAAATATCAACTCATTAGGCATTTCTGTATGCTGAGACTCAGTGGTATTAGAGATACAAAAATAGGTTAGGAAAAACTGTTTTAAGAGTAAAATTTATTATTTATTACAAATGATGAATACAATAAATCTCCATAACAGAGACATATTAAAAAAAACTATCTAGAAAATTTAAAGAGTAGCTCCCGCAGATGGAAATCAGCTTTCTTCAACTATCACCTGGCAGAAACACTATAAACATTTTAGTCTCTACTGTTTCACCATTTGGTTTGGGGCGGGCACTAAATTACTTTACTGATACTTTACCAAACGAAAGAAAATATACGTGGCTACTTGCTACAACTTATAGAAAGGGTAAGCAATAGGACAATAGGAAATTAAAAAAAAAATTATAGCTATGGATAAGCCATCTAGAACTTAGCTCTCACTATCATTCTCTCCCAGGGTGTACATATCAGAGATACTCTGTCATGTCAGAGTCTGGGTCCCCATCTTGTGTAAGTTGGTTACATGGTCATTCAATTCTTTGATGGATTTCACTTGCTAATTTAGGTACTAAATCTGGAGGAAGTCACGCAAGAAGGAGTTCATTCACTGGCCAGTTTATTAATTTCCAGTAGTGACTGACTGATTCACAGTTTTCCCCAAGTGTAATGCATACACCACTGCATTCCTGGTCTGGTTTCCTGACATCCTGCAGGAAGATTTGGCCACCTTGTTGGTTCTGCAGCTTTATCAGTTTCATAGCGTGTTCCTTCTCATAAAATTGGTGAAGAACGTGTTTGGTAAAGTTCTCCAAAGCCACATCTTCACAGTCACAGTAGTAAGAGACAGGCAGACAGAGGAAGTATATGTAGCACTCCAAGATGATCTGGTGGTTAATGACAGCATCTTGTTTCACAATTTAAAAAAATGAAATCTTTCTAAACATTCTATCCTGTTACCTTTTTTATAATTCATGAAGATGTCACAAATGTCCTTTTATATAAATAGAAACCCACAGCAACATTTTTGATGCCTGCATAGTACTCCAATATAAGGATATCACACAATTTACATACTGAACAGCTTATTTGAAAACTTTCTATTTTTGCCCCATCATTCTACTATTACAAACACTACTGTGATGGGTATAAATGTAAAAATATCTTTGCATACTTCTCCAATTCTATACTGAAATTTTTAGAAGTAACTCATGGAAACAGATTGCTAGCTGACAAGTTATATGACTAGAATTTTAAGTTTATATATTGTTAATTTGCTTATGAGGACAGTAGAATTTCAACTAAATCTTGAAGGGTTAAATAAGTGTGTATGGGAATACAGCTAGAAAGAGGTACTAGGAAAAGTAAAGGTTTATTCCTGTAAGGGTAAAAAAGCAGAGTATATCTTTTTATCTCAGAAATTTAAAAAATTGACAATATATGCCAGGTAGTAATCTAACTTAATGATAAGCTACTATTAAAAAAACAAGCGACAAGAAAATAAAATCTAATAAAGTTCTAAAGTATTATTGGCATTTTAAAGTATTTAAAATTAAAATTTAAGTGTTATTGGCATTTTAAAGTTCTAAAGTATTATTGGCATTTTAATAAAAATTTGCTGACAATTAAACTTGATTGTATTCATTAGAGTTACAATCTTTTTCTTATATTTTCCAGTCCTTACCAAAGTAATCAAAACAATAATTTCTGGGTTCAAAGTAGATATTCCCTTCTTAATGTGCCAAAAATAGTTTAATAATACACACCTGACCAAGAAGAGAATACATTATGCATATTAATCTTGCTAATGTAATATAACATTTAAAAACTATATGAAATGATTTTAGTAAAGTATAATACAACCACAAGTTATAGAATATAGAACTTTGCATGAATCCTACAAGGATCTATACTGCATTCTTTGCTCAAGTATAAGAAATTATCTAGCAAAAACAATCCTAAAGTCATTTGCAGGAAAGTTTTAAGTTTATATTATATGTGTGTATCTAATATATTATCACTAAAGAATGTGGTTTTACTTTTGGGGGCCAAACTTATTATTTTAAATATTTTCTATAGAAGTCTTCCTAATAAATCCAGGGCCACACTTCATTAAATGATTTACTAAATATACTTTACCCTATTCTTGGTGACCCATAATCATCAGTAAGAGCTATTAAATGTTTATAAGTTTAATAAACTGTTGGTTTCGCGGTCAGAATCCTCATAATGCTCTGTTTTAGTAGCAAGAGATTTTCTTGTCTACCTTCTGTCAGGTACCTCATATCAACATATTTATTCATAGCAATTTTCTACCCCTTTGGCTGCATTTAATCCATTGCCCACTATAACCTAAGAATAGCAATTGCCAGAAGGTACAAGCTAACCAAGCTAATGTTATACATGATTCTTAGTCAATAGGTGCCATTTTCATATTTCTTTCTAGGAAAAGTTTACAGAAAAAGTTCACTGATCAAGGTCCCTTTAAAAAGCTCATGTATGGATTCAGCAGTATACCAGCTGCTGCAAATCTGATAATGGAAAACAAGGGGTGAGACTAAGAACTCTTTAACAATAAAAATCTATAATGATTACAATAATAAAACTAACGGATGCTACCAAGATAAAATTTCTTACCATGAGCATTATGGGCTCATAGACTCTTTGCTTAAATCTGTCTCTGTTATTTCTCAGCCATAAAACAGCATCATATGTGTCACGATATCTCTGTCTCAGCTTATCTTCCTTTTGATTCATGAGATTGTCAAATTGTGTAATTTGATCATTCACACCTAAAATTGGAAAATGAAACAAAGTACTGTTTCTCTGAAAACTTTCATTAGTAAAATAATCTAATGATAATTTAAAAAATCTCAGACCCACAAGTTACAAACACTACTCAGCAAGTTCCCAACGGAGAAAAACCCACCCTCAACAAATCATTCTCAAATTTCTAAAGAACTGGAATAAAAGATGATCTTTGAGCTACCAAAAACAAATAGGTCAGATAGACAAGAATGAGAAAATATTAGATTCCAGAGACAAGCACCATACGCATTCAAACCTGAGTAAAACTATTTTCAACTTAGAATTATATATACAACAAAACTGAGAAAAAGTAACAATAAAGGTATTTTGGGGGATGTCAAGACTTTATAATTAATTCCAAAATGCCCCTTCTTGGGAGGTTACCTGAAGATGTGCTCTAACAAAATAAGGGAGTAATGTAGGAAAAACAGAAGGCACAGAATTCAGGAATAGCTTCATCCAACATGAAAAAAGATCTGAGATAAATTCCTGATGACTGGCATGCAGGAGGCTTGGAGAACAGTCAGTCCAGAAAGAACAAGTATGGAAGGCTCCAGAACTCAGGAGAATGCCTGGTAAGATGTTTTATTTTTTTATTTAAGGAAATGCTAAAACAAATGGTGCTTTTTAAGACAAGTAATCTCCAACCTTTAAAAAAGCTATCAGTGAAAGACAATTAGATTATAACATACTACCTGGCTCTGCTGTGAACAAGTTTCATTGTAAAGCCATGAATAATACTTAATATTTCTAGCTTTTAGAATTAACCCATATACAGAGCACATAAAACTTGAGTATGGTTCTCAATAAAATGTTTTCAGCCTTAAGAATATAAAAACCAGAACACAGACTGGAGAATTTAGAATATAAAAAGGGAGGGTTGTGTCCTGGCTAGGGCGGCTCAGTTGGTTGGAGCACTGTCCTCTAAACCGAAAGGTTGTGGGCTTGATTCCCAATCAGGGTACATGTCTAGGTAGTGATTCTGGTCCTGGTCAGGGCACTATGAGAGGCACCCTATTGATGTTTTTCTCCCTCTCTCCCCCTCCCTTCCTCTCTCTCCAAAATCAACAAGCAAGTTCTCGGGTGAGTATTAAAAAACAGGGGCAGTGGGGGAGAGGGAATAAGGAGATAATAAGGAAAGGGAGTACTAGAATTTTTAGCTTACAGTATACATTAAAAAAATAGTGACAAGAGTTAAGTGACAAATGATAAAAAGATGTATCAGTCACAATAAATCAACATTAATACATTTTATCAGTAACTAATATGAATATAATAATCTCGCTTGAGAATTACAATAGGGAAGGGAGTTATGAGCTGAAATCACATCTAAAGTAACAAAATAGCAAAAGATGATGTCTAAAATCGACAAGGTAAGCTATGGTAAAGTAAGAATATGCTGAAAATATATGAAGCACAATTAGAAAAAAACTGCTATTTAACTATTAGAATAGTTAAACGTGCATACACTTGAGGGGGGTCTCGAGGTTAAAAGGGGTTGGGCTACACTTCTAGTTTCTTTTTCTTTGTTTTAACCATACACATCTCATATTTGATAAACATACAAAAATGGGTCTTTTAAAAAATTGATGTTAGTTATATATACTGAGCAGATTGAGTATGACAGCTCCTCTACTTGAATAACGTTAGAGATCTGTCCATATGGTCTACCCCCACAGGAGGCAAACACAAGGCTCACAGGCCGAATCCGGCCCAGAACCTTGTTTCCACTGGGAGGTAGTGCCAAGCTTCTGCTTAACTGTTAAGTCACATTTATACAGTCCTAAAATTACATTTGGTCCTTTGAAGGTAACCAGGAGGCTGATGAGGCCCCCAGTGAAAACGAATTTGACATCCTTGGTCTACAGGAAAGAAAAGCAAAGATGTAACTGGACAGGCTTCAAGGAACAAAGTAAATATAAAGTTTATAAAGACTAGAATAAAGAGTTTAAATCTGCTCTGAAAAATAATAGCAAGTAACTTTCTAAGAAAATAAAGCAAAGTATTTTCAGACTGACAATTAAAAAAATTGACATAATCTGACTGAAGACACTGACCAGCCACTGGCAAATCATGGTACATGATATAGGTAATTAAGAGACTAAGTTGGAAGAACTAAGCTGAGCTTCCTCAAAAGGGAGACTTGAATATTTAAAGGCATAATATCAGAAGAAGAAAGCCCATCACTAGAGATGTACCTCCATTTTATAAACATCTCTTCATCCTAAGTTTAATAAAACTTACTCTTTTTCTCCTTCTCTAGAGTTTCCCTCTCTTTATGCTTATCAATTATCTCACTTTCACACAAAGCCTTTTCATCTTGAATCCGTCTCAGGTCATTTGTAATGGCATCAATCTGGGGTTGAAGATTCACACAGTTTTCTGTGGTCCTCAGTTCATTTTGCAAATCTTCTATCATTTTGCGGGTGTTACTTATTCTCCTCTGTCGGTCATGCTCTTCATTCTGTTTTACTGTTAAAGCCTGCTGAAGTTCCTCAATCTAATAAAACAGAAGACAATTAGTACTGGAGACTGTTTTTTCTCCTGGTTTATAGGGCTTTCATAGTAATGTAATTTTAAAATGCATACAATCTAAGAACATAGGTGTTTTCCTTACTAAAAGGTATCCTGCTAGAATTAGACTGTTACTCTTACCAGATTACCTATCTCTTTATTTTATTTATTCACTTATATATCCCAAGTCCCTAGAGCAGTGTTTAGCATATAGTTAACACTCACTAAAATATTTACAAAGTCAATCAGATTCTAAACATTTATAGGAAGTAAATGCATACTTCATACCCTGATACCACAATTAAGTCACATGGTATGATACTTTCAATAAAGTAGTAATAATAAAAAGAGATTTTACCCTACTAATTTTAAGCTAAAATAACCATTTTCTTTTAAAAAAATCTCCTACTAACACTTCAAATTAATATTATGTGATTCTTAAACACTGACCTGCATGTTTAGATTTGTTAATATATATTTAGGGTAAATTATGTTTTAAAAAACCCATATTGTATGTCAGTGAAATTTTTGTTAAAACCAGACACAGTCAACCTAAAGCAGAGTTAAGATTTTAAGATACACACAAATATACACTAATACAACTACTTTATAAAAAAAATTTGAATTTTGTATTAAGAAATTTAGTATCTTAAATTAATGCCTTTAAACATTTATATTTTAATACCTATCTATAGAACATATGTATTTTACTAAATGGTACCACTAAGAATGTACTGAGAGCAATTTCTCATTATTGCACATGTCCTTGCAACATATAATTTTAATACCTGCATAATATCCTGTTATACAGATATGCCACATTTACCTATTCTTCATTGTTAGGAATTTGGGTTGGTATCAATTTCTTATTCCTAAAAGTTTTAGCTTTGAAACTGTCAAGATAATGAACAAAGAAATATATGCTAAAATATCCTCTTCTGTACCAAACACACAAGAGAGAAAAAAATATTTGAAAAAATTAAGTTACATATCTGAAAATTAACAATGCTCAACACGCCCACCTAAAAGAAGCAAACAGACAAGAAGCCAGAGTTCAGTCAGAAAGTCCACGCCATTCAGGAGAATAAATAGGCATGTCACAGAAGAGAGAAAGAGAATTACGAATCACCAAACATATCAAGAAGTCCAGGTCCATGTAAAACAAGAAATTTAAAATATAATCCTGTCCTCTCAGAAAAAGAGAGACATCGTAGGTACCGAAAAACCAAGAAACAACCATGACTACGCCCTCTGGACCTATTTTTAGCTCTGGCCCAGTAAGCGGAGCCTCCTGGACGGCCAGTCTTCTCGGGGGTACCATTCCCATACTGCTGCCTCCCATTTCTATGAATGATCTCTCTTCTTGTACTAACTGAAATTTGGCTATTCCTGAGATGCTTCTCCCTAGAGCCCTCTGAAGTAGTGACCTTTTCCTGCTATAATCCTTCAGACGTGAGCAGAGTGTCCTGATTAATCTTCACCGTACTACTTCCTCCATTAACTGCGCTCCACTTCAGTTTCTTTTAAGACCACGTGTTCAGACTTTACCACCATTATCTTTGTTGCCAGGTTAACTGCTCCCTCAAAATTCTTCCTCAGTCACTTCATTCATTGATGACTTTAGCACTCAACTGACTGAGGTCTTCCTCTCCATCATTATGCCTGTTATCATGAGCCTTCAACATAAGAGAAAATTCAATCTAACTCATCAGCCTCTGTGTTCCTTGACTTTTTCAACTTCACCCATCTTTTCCTAAAACCCTCCTCCCTGACGTTCCTGCTCTTATAGTAGTATTCTAGCTCATATAACTCCCCCCAAATTATACCACTTCTGAAAAGTCGACTTCCACAACCCTACTCTTTGATCACCGTTTCCTTTCCTTCTATTTTAGTTATTGTAGTATTCCTATTCCAACTATTTTTTGCCCCCACAGAGTCCTGCAATCCACTGACCCTAGTACCTTGTCAAAAAACCTGTTGAGGTTCCACGACCCACCACTATAACCATTCCCTTGACAAGTCCTCTTAACCTCTAACTAATCCTATGTCACACTAGCCAAGAGAAAACCTAGTTCTTTTTAAACCTAACTATATACCTTCTATATACGTTCTATCTATCTGTATTTAAACAACTGCACTAATTGGAGAAACACACAAAATAAGGCCACACTTTAAATTTATGGCCACAAAACTTAAATAAGCATTTCAAACAACCTACTACATTTCTTTAACAAATGTAACGTGTTATGTTCCGAGATGAATTCACCTTTCTCTCCTTCCTCAGCCCTTTAGTGCTACAGACCCTCTACTCACTTGGCTGATGTTCTTGTCTCACCCTTCACTAACAGCATAGTTAAAATCAGAATATGCTGATTGGAGTGCGTTCCTGTCTTCAAATCTATCACCTTAACCTCCAGTGGTACTCACTCTGCTTTATCATGTAGGAGAGTTCTTGAAGCTGCCTACATCCAACCCTCCAACACTATTCCAAGCAGTGCTTCTTAAACTATTTATGGTAAAGAACCATTTATAAAAAAATTTCAAGCCATCACAAGTCAACTTTTACTAGTCACAACTACAATAAATTACTAACAGACATTTTGGGGAACAGTTTGGCAATTGCTTTAAAAATCAAATGTACATCCATGATAGTCTACTTCTAGATTATCCAAGAGAAGCAAAAACATATGCCCATACACAAATGTATATGAAATATTCTTGGAAGCTTTATTAGTAACATCCTCAAACCAAAAACAAACTAAATGCCCACTAACAGCAAATTCTGACTTTAAAAAAATGAGAAGAAAAATATTAAACTGAATAAAAATAAAAATACAACATATCAGAATTTGTGGAACATGCTAAAACAGCGATGGGGTAAATTTATAGTATTAAGTGCATACACAAGAAAAGACGAAGCCTCAAATTAATAAGCTGGGCTTCTATCCCATGAACCTAAAAAACCCCAAAATATACCAGTATCAGGCAGAGACAAAGAAATAATAAAGAACACACATCAATAAAACTGAAAAGGAAAATATAATGAAAAAGGCTGGTTCTTTGAAAAAAAATTTTTAAGTGAACAAACCTCTAGCAAGAATGACAACATATACAGCAATCCCAGAAGACACAAGTCACCAATATCAGGAATGAAATGGGTATCACTGTATCTTACAGACCTCACAGACATCAACAGGATAAGAAGAGCATTTATATACATGTATATTTGACAACTTAGAAAAAATGGACCAATTCCTCAAAAAACACTAGCACAACTCATCCAATCTGAAAAAGATTACTTTAATAGCCTCAAAACTATTAAGTTGAATTCATAATTTTAAACTCCTCCCCAAAATCTCCAGATCCAGATACTATCCTCTGAGAATTGTTTGGAATATTTAAAGGATAATTAACGATTCTACGCAATCTCCTCCAAAAATATAAGAGGAGGGGCACTTCCTAATTTGTTTTATTAAGCTAGTTACTATCCTGATATCAAAAAGCAGAGAGTACAAAACCAAAACTAAAAAAAAAACAAAAAAAACCCTCATAAATACATAGAAGTCCTTTAACTGTTAGCAAACAGAATTCAACCATATGTAAAAGTTTATATGTATACACCAGAACCAAGTAGAGTTTATTTCATGGATGTAAGGTTGATTTAATGCTAAAAAATCAATCAATGTAATCGATCATATTAATGAGATAAAGATGAACTTGTAAGCTATCATATCAATAGATAAAGTAAAAAGCACTTGACAATATCCAACAGTCGTTCATGATATATGTTCTCAGAAACACGAAAATAAAGTGGATTTCCTGAACTTCCTTTATGAAATCCCTAAATAGATGTTTAGGAGAACATCTTAAAAAAACCTACAGCTGATATTCTAGTTAATAGTGAAAACCTGAATGCTCTGCTCCTAAGACTGGGGACAGGGCAAGGATACCTACACTTACCAATCTCATTAAACAGTGATGGAAGGTCTAGCCAGTGAAATAAGGGATATTAAAAAAAAAAAGGCATACAAATCAGAAAGGATGAAATAAAGCTATCCCCCTTTGTACATGATATGACTGCCTTTGTAGAAAATGCCAAGGAATCTATTAAAGAAGGAGAGCTAGTCAGAGATAAAGATAGATATATAGACAGATATGGAAGAAGGAAGTGGGGAGGAAAAGAGGGAGGGGGGAAGGGAGAAAGAAAAGAAAAACTCAGGTGTAATCTAACAAAACACAATGAGAACTTTTATGCTACAAACTATATAATGCTGATAAAAGAAACTGAAGATCTAAATAAATGGAGATATATACAGGATGGAAGACTCAACATACTAAAGATTCCCCAAATTGATATGCACATTTAATGCAAATCCAATGAAAATCCCAGCAACATTTTTCTGTAGATAAAGAAAAGACTTGGATGTCATCAAGTATGGAGAAGTAAAGAAAATCACTCCTACATAAAAACAAACAAAGCAAACTTCCCACCAAGATGGAGGTGAAGGTGGATACACATTGCCTCCTCACACAACCAAAAGGACAACAACAAATTTAGAAACAAAAAAACAACCAGAACTGCCACTAAATCAAACTGTATGAAAGTCTGACAACCAAGGAGTTAAAGAAGAAACATACAGCCAGACCGGCAGGAGGGGTGGAAACAACACACCACCAGGTGGCAGCTAGAGGACTGCATGGGCCAGGAGGGAGAGGTAGAGGCTGGCAGATCTGGCAGTCCTACATTCGCATATGGATAAACCAGGAGGAACAACTGGGGAGCAAGACAGATCACTCAATCTAGGGTTCCAGTGCACGGGAAATAAAGCCTCAAAACCTCTGGCTGTAAAAATCTATGGGGGATGGGGCAGCTGGAGAAACTCCCAGCCACACAGTAGAGTTTGTTGGAGAGACCCACAGGTTCCTAAAACATAAACAAGGCCACACACCTGAATCAGCACCAGAAGGGTACAATTTGCTTGTGGG